GGGATTTAGATTGTCCCCAACGCCAAATTTGTTTGTCTGTTTCACCTCGTGTTCCTTGGCGACCTCATCGTCCACCATTACCGGGTTTCTCTGTGGAATATCTTTCATCAGTCCTAACATGTTGAGCTGCTCTCCCTGCTGTACCAGCTTTGTCAACGCAATGCTTCTGAAGTGGAACGCAGCTTTAAAATTGACAACGGCAGTGTAGACGAAATACCTTAAGTGCTTCAAGATTTTTTTATATCTTCGATCAGAGTTTTAAAGGCTGCCATCATTGATTTAGCAACGCGAGATCTGCGCTTGGTAGAGACACTACGTTTATAGTTATAAATTATGAATCCATCGATCGTTTATTTGAAGTTATAAGTTAGCTATGGGTATTATATGAGAACGACGATGCTTATTTCTACATTGAGATGCATTTACGATATGAGTCGCTAGGCGCGGCGTGGTACCTTTGAGTGCATTGCCATAATGCCCATTAGGATGTGGCAACTGCTAATTAAAATTTCAACGTTGGCAGATTCTTACTACGGTGTATGATGTTTCACAGGCAGTTAAAATGATTAAGGTCCGCCTAAAATACTGCTCAGTGACTTAAGTATTAAAAGTTAACAAAAAGCATTCGGCGATTTTGTGTCGGTAGCTGGTTGCAGCTAAGTATAGAAGGTCAGGAAACAAACGATCGAACAATATGCGGAGTAAATAGTTTTTAACAGTATGACTTGCCGTAATATACAAACATCTTGGTCATGTCCGTGTTTTCAAACTCTAAGGCTTTCCATGTCATTTTAACCCACTCAGGTATACAGTGTTTCGTTCCGCACATTAAAAAAAGAAAGAAATTTAAATCGCGAAGGTTTCCTCTATCTTAAGAAACAGACTGACTCGTAGGCCGATTCCGCTCAAATCTGGAGCATTGACCTTGGAACTCTGGAAATGGCGCTCTCGAAGAACTTTCTATATACATATATATATATATATATAAAAAGTAATAATTTTTTTGGAAATTATGATAGTTCGAAACTTTCGCCACCAATGCTCATATGCTAAGCACATCGGGCTGACAATGTTTGATATAGTTACAACGTCGATCGAGCACCCTATCGTGACCTAGCGCTTTTCCTCAACGACTAAGTAGTTTAAAAACTGTTCAAACATCATTTCTGTTTAAAGAACTTACAGGATTTCAAATGCTGTCTAAAGCATATGTTCCACTTGTCTGAAACTAAACCAGAACATTTCTGGCTAAATTAGACTACAGATGAAAAACATAAGGAAATCAGAAACTATTCTCTAATAAAACGCCCGTAAACATCATTTTCTCAGCGATGTGTACGCCATAGCCGAGCAACAAGTTTTCTGCAAACGGATGTGTCATATGTTCATAGCACCGCGATGCCAGAAGTATGGCGATCTGCAGTTACAGATAACTTAACTCGTCTGCATTATATTGCTGCTGCGACGTTCTAACAGTATATCACCTTCAGAAAATCTGCGTTTGTTTCGATTCATGCCTAGTAAGTTGCCCTGGATAAGCAAGCAGGTGATCAAAAATGGTCGATGTTAAGTTTCCGAAAATAAGCTTTTCGGTCTGATCTAATTAAGCTGCTATACCCTGTACGGCGCTCCTGAAAGGTTGCTTAAAGACTTCCCAGTCTGTTTACTAAAATTTAAGATACAGTCACTAATAATAAATGACAGTGTCATTTCTTCGGAAGATCTGCCTTGCTAGCAAAAATTATGTAACAGTCTATTTGTCCACATGTCAGCTGAGGTTTTCTTACTGCCTAGAGTATTATCTCATCGATTTATACACCCGTGCAGTTCCAAATAGAGATTTTTCTGATCCTTTGCAGGACTCCGATCCTAGCAACGGCCGGCTTTCCGCCAACTTTCGAACGCGCTGTACGGACAGGCTTTTTTACACGACATAGGGTATATGTCAGAGTATTGATATGGAAAATAATTAATAGCGCAAGTTACTTTTATAATAAAATAGTTCAACAATAAAACTTGTAAATACGAGCTGTTGCTGAGTTTGGTGTATTAGGTTACCTGGAAATATTTAACAAACTTGACGTATGTAAGGTAACATAATTCTACTTCGATATATGTTAGATGCTTTCCGTTCCGGAAGCTTTTTGACAGCTGGGTTCTGATGAGTCTCATTGGCTTAATCTCGATCGAAGGTTCGTTTTTTTTTTTATTAATCCGAGCCGTGAAACACAGGGATGAGGTCGTCTGTTACCTTTGAATAATAATATTTGTGGAGGTTGCCGTCATGCTATACAACCATAAGCTCTTCAGGAATTGGAGATGATCGAATTTGATCGCTCCTGCCGTTGGAAGTTGACCCCACTTTCCCGTTTGACCCTCCTCTGGCGGACAGATTGACTGACGCGTATTCCTTTTGCGGTAACCACAGCTTTCCCGTCCGAACAATTGTCACTGGAGTACGACGCATGCGTATCAGTTCGTCCTGCACTTGGCTCAAAAGGAACTAAAGTTCTGTTCTGTCCTGTACTAATAAGGTTGTTTACCTGTTTCATCTTCGGTGTTCTCCTTGCAGTTTCATAACAAATTTCTTGAGAAATCTTCTGTCGAGCCTACAAGGTGAGCACGGTCGAAGCTTTATTCTGCTCAAAAGTCTCAATGATCAGAGCTACCAATTTCCGTTCATAAGATCACAGATACTAGTAGTCGTAGAAAAGCAACGAACTAATCTAAATATTTACGGAAGTTTACATGCTAATGGCTGGTAACATAAACGTTATTCAAATACTTTGATCCTGTAAATGGTTCCGGACCAGCTAATAGTTTCCGTTGAAGGCAGGCTGATAGCTTAACTCCATGCACAATGATTAACATATTAGCTCTTTTCAGAGAACTAAACGCTTTTCGCGCGAAGGCGTTTAAATACATTATAACACATGAGTCGTAACGCCAGTTGCCGCAAAGGGAAGCCTAGATTCATTTGAAATATGCACTTTGGTCCTCGTCAACGGCAGCTGGCTTCTGGGCGCGGGCATATTCTGATCCTGGAAAACATTGTAGCAACAATTTGTGAGGTGTCCACGTTACGAATATCTCGGAGATACCCTGTCAACTTGCCGAGGACGCTACAAAAGACTAAAAAAATATAACTTCAAGTTAAAAGAAAAAAAACGCTTTAGGGTGTTTAAACAAAAATTCTTTATTTAGTAGTAACGATAATAGAAACATCCACAATGAAAGAGAGTTATACGAAGAACATTTGGCTGATCTCGTCCTAAGCAAGAACTCTTCCTACCTGAATCAGAAGCCTACAAGAGTTTCAGGTAGGTCCCGCACGAAACACCGCTAGGAAACCGAAAGCGCGATTGGAACGACCACAAGTCGGTATTACGGCTGCCCGATTTGATGTATCAAAGGGATCTATTAAAGGAACGCTGACTTCTAAAATCTTGGCAAGATTCACGATATTCTTGAGAAGAAGTTGTGCTTCAAGTCATATGTCAAATACTGCTTACGTTTTCATAGCTAAGGTTTGTTTTAGTATCCAGCTAGAGTAATGGGTGTTCGGGGGACCCAAGGCTCCCACGTGGTCACAGTTTCGGCGATAGTGGAAATCTGGACAGTTTAACGCGATGATTTCTATTTGATTCGTTACGGAGCTGCCCGGTACACGACGTATAAGGTTCGGATCCTGTTAACGAATGTATGTCCCAACGGAATTAGAACATGTTTACAAAATGACCAACAAACAGATGTTACAAACAAAGTGAAGCATGCCATGGATCTCTGCCCTGAGGGACATTTTAAGCTCAACTGCCTTCTTTGTTCGAAAACAGGGTGGTTTACAACAGCTACGTGACCACTACTACTCTAGCTCGAATGGCTACAGAATGTGAATATAAATAATTACGTCGTTGACTATCGTTATGAGAACTGTTATAAAAAAACAATGCTTTAAATAAAGCATCGTAGCAGCGTTAAGAGGCTGTCTATTAGATTCACCTACGGTTACCTGTAAGGAGGCAGAAGAGCGGCCGCTCGTTTTCGCACTTCCTTTTTGTCTCATCACCAATCGAACATGGCTTAGGCTTTTAGATGAAGTATCTGGGCATAGAAGGAGTAGCGGAATGTTACCCGTTCTACTTCGTTGATAAAAACGACTCTTACGCGCTTTTCAAAGATGACTCGTCGACCTCCGCTTATTTCTTCACAAATACTTGGTTGGCGGATCTTCGACTGGATTCAATCTTGAACCCATTCATCTATAACGGAACTATATTACTAGTAAAAAAAAAAAAACAACGATAAATCACATTGCTACAAAAAATCCATCGTAATATTAGCGCTGGGAAACCGGATCCGATGCTTACGGCTTGTACCCTTGTAAAACGAATTACTTTTGTTTCGAAGAGTACCTAGTTGGCAAATCAAGTTGGAAGATTAGGTACATCTGACAAAAGCCCGTTGGCATTACAGAGACTGTGGCCACGATGCCTCACAACCATTGGAATCTATGTAAAGTCTCCGATAAGCTTCTGTAGCAACTTCTCCGTTTAGACGAAACTACGTATATTCTAGAAACTGCTGACTTATCCGTTGTCGAGTATCACGACCACCCTTTTCTTCTGGGGTAAGTAGTTAATTTTTATAACTTCCTTTAAATAGTGAAGCCTGTCAACTTTAACGCTGAAGTCCTTTGCGTACGTCTGATATCCGCAATAATATCAGCGTGACGATGCGAACGCGATACGGAATTCGACAGTGTGTTCAACCTATCACTTCGCAGTCATTTGAAAGTAGCGAACTTAAAATAGGACCTATTATTAAAGTTTAACTGGGAGTGCTGTCGCGGTAACTACATCGATGATAACCAGTATCATGTAGGTTTCACAATAACAGGATAATAATAATAACAGGATATTTTCCTTTCTATTACACGACTCCAGATGGGGTGTAGGACACAGAGGCAGTACAACTTTATTTCTGAAGCTTAATCCGTTTATTATTATGGACTCGCTTTAATGCACCTGTATGAGAGGTTCCAGCTAAAATTTTCGGTTTTCGGAAATACTAACGAAAGTCCAACTTTCATCAATCCTTAAAAATTCGTACAAGGAAAACTAGGACATGAGTCAATTCGTTATACTGAAGTTGATATCAGCTATTCGCAAAGGACTAATCCGCGTAATTATATATATATATATATATATATATATATATAGACACATATGTATACAAAATTTAAGTCACTTGATTCTTTTAGCGACGCTAAATGCAGTTCGATAGGAGCTGCTCGTTTGCTAAATCTGGACGCTCATCCTTGCCTTAATGTCTCTCAAGCTTTATAAGAGATCTACATATGCCGAATGTACCTAGAAAAGATGGAGTAGAAATTCTGTTTATGCAAGATTCAAAAAACGAAATGTATTGTCTCTGCCGTTTCCAGTGAATAAATTGTCATTTATATGTAAACTCCGAAACGCTATATAGCAACTGTATACGAGCAGAAAGGAAGGACATCAATATTTTTTAATGCCACGAAAAGTCTAATACCAACAAACTTAACGTTCAGTGGTTTTGTTGAGGGTAAGTTAGCTTTTTTTAAATTGCAACCTTCACTTTTACGAGCTCGCAAAACTTGCTGGGAAAAATGACAATTCTCATTTTTTTTTTTAGGCGTTAGATTTTAAGTGATTCTCCAAAAGCTTTACCCATTTTGAAGGTTTAATTACCTAGTGTCAGAACTTATAGCTAAATATGATGAAGATATGACACTGCGTGCTACTTTGATCGGTGCAGTACACCTCGGACGTTTGTTTGAGGTCTTCTAAATCTAAAATTGTCAAAAATGGTGTCTTGACCTATGTCACTGATTCTTCAGATGAACAACACATTTCTTGCCTTTCCTTTGACGAAGAACGTTCCTTTGGAACGAAAACAGTTTTTCTAAGGTCTGTTTTGTATCGCTGTGCAAATTTCGAAAGACTTTGTTACCTCGGAATTTGTCGCACGCTAGTTGAGATAATTGCCGAATAAGATTCGATATTGTCCAAGAGCTTCGTAACGGCGCAGCTTCTAGAGGACCAATCAGTGCAATGATTTCTTTCGGTATTTTCTATCCATGAATTTTCTAAACCTAATCAAATCAGACTAATAGTGAGCAAACGAAAAATACGCACCCTAGCTGCCGCGTACTTGCCAACTAAACGCTTTCTGTGCCACGGCAGCTCCTTGTCTCCAATCCCGTAAACCTTTTCGCTATTATAACCCATGGAGCTTACAACTGCTGATACGACTTTCAATAGGTGTCCAGTAGAGGTATTTTACAGCGGTGCTTACACGCTCAAGGCACGCCCGCCATTCAGAGGAGGTTTGCGTCGCTCTGAGACGCTGAATATTGAGCTAAAGTTATTTAGATCTGAAAAAAAACTGTTTGCCGATGTTCCCGGCTAAAGTCATTCTAAAAAAGAATCAGTGACAGTGTGCTGAAAGCTGTTCCTCCATATTAGGATCGGGTTCTACCCTCTCACTAAGTAACGCATCTGCGTCACGGTAGAGACCTGAGATTTCGCTGCCATCTGCGTAAGGTGCACTAGATAGCATTTAAACCCAGCCTCGATCTAGAGTCCCTTCGAAGGACGAATTGTCCTATCCCATTTTCGAAAATCAGTAAACCGATTAGTTAGTCGGCGAGGTTTTTTTGTTGGCGCTAAAACGTCTCCAAGCCAATATTTTCCGCGGCATTCAGTCCATTCATATATGCTGCAATCATCGATGTTGGAAATACTCCTGTACAGCAAAATTTTTTCTAATATAAATATCACAGCCAATATGATCAAATTGTCAACAAACGAACTTTTCAATTCTCAGGCTGGTTTGATAGGCCTTATTACTCAAGCAGTTTTGACAACCAGTAGATAGAGGCCATTCACAACCCCAAAAAAGGTGACTGCCGAATTTTCGTGCTTATGATCTGCGTCCACCGAAAAATTTCTGCCAGCCAATACGAGCCATCTCGACGTTCTTTCGCACTCAGCCTGCCGGTGCAAAAACTTCCTGACATCTTCACAGACTTTGATCGCTGAGCTAATCACGCGGCGCTGCAAAATCCGTTCAAGCATTCCCAATGCCCGAGGAGCTTCGAGGGGACCGGCTTTCTTTGCGGCCTTCAGTTGAAGCTGCGCACTTCCTGGATGGCTGGGGGCGACCTTGCCACATCGCCACGTTCCTCGAACAACGCATAGCCACCGAAGTCCGGCCCTAGTACACATGCAGCGAGCGATGAACACGACGTCACCTGCTTGCACACTATATGCTGCGAAATTCCCGTAAGCAATAGTCCATCCGTTCTGGTTATCGACACTGCTTACGAACTCCGTAAGCCGATCGACCACCTGCCATGGGTTTTCGTCGACAAAATCATTGACAAAATCCACCAACTCTGCCAGCTCCCGGGTACCGAAAAACAGATTGAGTAAAACGTCAACCCGACGTTTTCCGCATGCGCTAGTGGCAGTTTCGCACAGTGCATTGATCAGGGGGCGTCTCCAGTCGTCGAAATGGTCAATGGTATCATAGGTACTATTCGCTTGTGACATCCGCGGGGCGGGAAGTTCTGACTTTGGCGTTTCTATTGTCGCGCGACTCAAAACGGTTAGTTTCTCTTCCATTCGAAAAGTCGATTCAGCTGAGAGTCGCGGTCTCTTCTCCACCGGAGCCTTGTCAGCTGCTGAGCTGTCTGCAGATAGCATTCGTGATTTTAACGGAAACTCAAAATTCTCCTTGTCCTTCATCCTGCACGAAGCAGAGAATGAGTTCCTGCGCTGTGTACCCTGTTATTACGTTTTGATTTTGTTTTATGTAAATCAAGGGAAGTCCAACTGCGGACTGCTACTTCGATTATGAATGACGGTAATAATACACGGCAACAATAATAGCACCCACTATAATCAACCAGTAGTTCTAGCTTCCGCCACGACTTCAGTTGTTTCTAACTATATTGTTTTGAATTTGGTCGCCTTGGTTTCCTTCTCTGAGGGCCTGCTTTCTTCAGCACACAGGTGGATAAGCAGCAATTTAGTATCGTTTTTGTCGAGAAAATAACGATTGTCGAAGCGTTCGCACAGCCGCAAAGGACTTCAATCTTCTAACAATTTGAGTTCTCGGGTAGAAAAGTCTTCCTGCAGCTTTGGTGAGAGTTATCAGATTTCAGAATATTTCAATTATTGTTCCCAGGTAATTTGTCATAGGCGGACAGCTCGAAATGTCCTTAACCCTGAAGTCTGCTACGGCATTCGATGCCATCCGCATTTTGAATACCGATGCGCTACAGAAACGCAGGACCTAAAATGAGAGTCCGAAAGTGCCTATTGTGTACAGAACTTGGTATTTAAAGCTACGGATGCTGGTGGTTTCAGTGATGCTCGATATTCAGTTTATAGACTGCTCTTTTTAAGCCTTTTATTGAGATAGCCTGTTTGAGCTTCCTTAGAGTTCCTGCGCGCTTCAGCAACTGGAGTTATTTCAACAAAAATTCGTGTGTATCAACAACGTTTGAGCCGTTGGCACCTTTTTATATACAGTAGACAATAAGTTATAATTTTTTTTTTGTTAAATATTAATTTCAGGATTCAAGCGCAGATGCACTTAATTTAATTTGGAGAGTCTGGTCATTATATCTACAACTATAGGTGGTACCTGAATATAACGATTGCCTTTTTACTAGAAAAATATACTTAGGTATGTTTTATAATTATCCTACCTTCAACAGCGACGCAAAAGGTAGAACTTTGGACTTTATTCTGCATGCATCAGGTAACATTTCACTGGTTCGATCTTGCCTTCAAGTAACGCGCTGCGAATATCGCACGTGGATGAGATACCAAGACGCTAATTTCGGTCTTATAAGACCGAATAAATGACCAGAGGTAAGTCAAATTTTCTGTAAAAAATAGCGTCTTTCAGCTAGACAGATCTTACCTTTAAAACGTGTTACTCAGTTCGAAGGGTCACAGCCAAAGCTCGTTTGTCTTGGGGGCAAAATAATGTTGAGACTGGATTAGCAGACTAGTGTGATTCCTTGTTTAAGCGGTTGACCATGGACCCCCACCTACTATTTATAGAAATTAAATTTCGCATGTTTAAAAAACTACTAGAAATGTTAAAGTATCTTGCTTCACGGTTTGAAGCTAATACGGGCAAACCCGTATTGTGTTGTATTGGCAACATAGTCTGTTTAGTATGTTTGAGCATTAGAGTTGTTATTTTTATTCCTTTTTCTAGGTTACTCCTGGCCCAGCGTCTCATTTAATCGTACTATGGGCTGAAGAAGTGGCGACCCGAAAACATGGAAGTTTCCAGAAGTAATTACCGGAGGGTTTCTTACGGCCGTTACGGAACCTACTACGCCGTCGAGCATTCAACTTATGTTCTCTACCGACCCATTTGAGTTTGAGTAGGTAGAGTCAATCGCACGTCTGTTCAGGGATCTTTTCGGTTACACTTAAACTAGCTGCAATTATATTACTAAACATTATGGATGTTATTATCTCAATACAATTTTTAAAATAAATCTGTTTTTTATTGTTGTAATTCGGTGCTATTTATATATATTTCCCATGCTTCCCCTTTTACCTGGTTTTTCGTTTATCTATTCCTCATATGTCTCAGTGTTGCCAAAAGCCCTCTGACTACACGACCCTGTGCCGTAATAGATCCGAAGCAAAATGGGATAAAGTAAAGATTTCCGATATTTCAGAAGCAGGAAAAACCACTAAATGAACACGCATTGGACTCAGGGCCCATCTGTTTGTACGGTGCATATTTGGTCCGTATTTGTGTCAATATGTGCGCCTGTTTATACTATGTTGTATACTATTGACTGTGTGCGACATTTTTATGCAAAACGGACCTTAATGAACAGTCGCGCCCAGCGAAGTCCAACGGTCTCCCGTTCTGTTGTTGTTTGTTCCAACAGAAGCCATCTTGAATGACTGTTGATAGACAGGAATATTGTTGCAAGTAGAAGTTCCCTCGTGGTAGATGGAAGCGACGCAGAGTTTGAACGGCAAGGCAACAAGAGCAGATGATGCCCTTGGCTGCCCCTTCACTCCCAGTTTCTTGGTCCCCGTTTTAACCCCTGCTCCTCTTCACGGGCGCCGCAGTGCAGTCATCTGCGATCGGGTACCTACGTGGTTGTCTGTTACCGCTAAATGCCGCAGGCAAACCTGTTATCAACTTGACGATTATGGAAAAGCTTGGTGGATCCAGTACGGGTGTAAGGGATCCTTTGGTCGTAAAGGTCCGTTTTTGATAGAAGATAACACCAAAAATTGTCTATTTTGTGAGCAATCCTCTGATCTATAATGATGAGATCTACAAAGACAGTCAATTTCTGCGGTTCAATATCTCATATGCAATAACTCTCTATTTGAGATTTATAGATTGGCTTTTGTTGGAGGGTCGCAATACATCCACTTGTTGATTTTAACATTTTAGTCACTGGGCACGTTGAAGACAGCGACATGTTAAGCAGTTTTATAATTGGTCTTTCGTAACACTTTTAACAGCAGAAGTACATGCATTTTGTATTAAGTCAGCTTCTTTAATATGGCCCGAATTCATATGGGGAAAAGTTAACGGCGTCGATGATAAATTCAGCTTCGCAACCCACAGCTTCTTTTTATGACAAGCCTTGTCAGCGAAAAGTGTTGCCGTTAAGTTCTCGCCAGTTGCAGATGAATTAACTATTTAAGCTCAAAATATATTTGCACGTGGTTTTACTCTGTGAACGCTTTATGAATTAGAATTATTTTTTGCGCCTACGTGCGATGATGGATTTCTGGATTTTCCTTCCGAACTAACTAGAAACTGCTTCCACTAGAAGTAAGCAAAAAAAAAGGCTCTCTTCTTTAGAATTCAGCTGGCCATTCAGATCGCTTCGTAAAATATTCACCTCTTTAGATTTCATATATAATAAAAGTTTTTGGACCAATTGTTTGACGAGCAACAATTGTCCAAGAACTCTTTGATCAACTCCGATTTATCTGTCAGACCTTAATTTGACCGTGAGGCGCGATCTCTTAGGATGCCCATCTTGCTACCGTCTCTGGCCAATGACCGATCCGCGTCCATCTTAACCGACCCACATATCTGCCCAGTGTAGTTGAGAAGTAGAGGAGAGCAAGAACGAGATAAGAATAATAAAGAATCTGGGTTTCTCCGTCTGTTTAATTTGGGCTTGGTGGTAGCTGTTTCGCAACATCATGTGCTGTATTCTCAACTACCTGACGACCGGCGGGCCAGTTCATCATATTGTAACGTTGCCCCAAACAGTGAAGGTATATTCAGTTATGGGCTAGCTTCCCACCGTTGGACCAAATCACGAAAGCCTAAAAAAGCCACCTAGAACCATCCTGTTCCGCCTCTTTCTCTAATAAATTGAGTTTAAGATAATGAACAGCCCTGCAGTATTAGAAACATCTGCGGGGGCGGTGCCCTACATTGGTTATACAGCAGCTCGTCGCCTTGAGCCACTTCGTCATTCTTTAACTTTGACAGGAGTAGCTCAACTTTGCCAGTCTGTGTCGACAACACAAAACGAATGTTAAATGGAGGAAAGCAAGCAGGTCTGAGGACGTTATGCGGTGTTGCAAGGTATGGAATAATGATATGGGGGCAGCAATAGAAAAACGAGGAAATTGAAAAGCCTCGTCTAGTCTGATGTTTCTGTTTTTGATTATTAATCTCACTTAATCAAAGGACCAAGCGTATAGTTGTTCTTACAACTGCTAATGATTCGAAGCGTCGCGAAAAATGTGTGAAAACTATCAAAAAGCGACGTACTTATAAGCGAACGAATAGTCGTCGCTGAAAAAGTTGCACATACATCCATACGGGCGATTAAGCAGGACTCAGTGGTCTTCGATCGGTCGGTTTCGAAGACGAAATTCTTTATAATTAGTTTTTATTTATATATGAATATACATTAACGTTTGTTTTAAAATAAAATGAAAAAACAAATAATCACAAACACAAATCAAGCCTCAATTAGATAATATCGTCCAAGATAATAGTGATGTAATACAAATAACTGTTTCATCCGCTTCAAGGCCCACCTCTAAGATATTTCTCTGACTTGTTCTCTGATTTAAAACAAAATTCTGGAAAAAGGAATGAAGAAGGATGGCACCTAACATTCGGTTGCTTAGTATTCCGCATGGGTGTATACGTTTCTATGCGTCTGGTTATTTATTATTGAACCTTTCATAATCTACAATAGATTGTAGTACCATTCATTGCAAGTTAGTCAACGAAAAATGGATTATTTTGATTTTCATAATGTTTGAAAAGTACAAAAAAAAAAAGGCATTTTTTTGCAACTTCCATGCGCAAATATGTGTCGTGCTTAACCGCAACACGATCAGTGGAGTATGCGCAGCCAATACATGTTAATTCAGAGTAAGGAACGTGTCCGACACACCGTTAGAAATTTGACATGTTTGTTCCTACTGTTGTTTTCGACGTGGTCCTATTATAGGAAACATTTATATTGTTGCATCATTTCGTATATGGATTTGTAGCACTGCAATGCATCCCATACATTGTCGACGCCTCAAGATATATTACTCACCTTCAATTTTTCTGCTTCGGTTTTCTACTCAGGCCTACATGAATCACAAGAAGCGTAAGTGTCCGTGACGGAAAACGATCTTATACGAAAATCCGTCTCGTTAACCTAACAAAGGCAGAGGCTTATTAATCTTGCTGATAAACGGACTTCGGTCGAAAAGGCTCACGCGGAGCGAACGAGCAAATTAACTGTCCTTTCACAGCTGGGCCTTGCCCAGTGGATGACGTTGATTAACCTCACAAGTGCGGACAGAAACGTTCTGTTCACTGCAGAAACTACGTTCGGCAGAATGGAGTAGTTTACCGAGTGGTGATATCGGAAAGGCGCTTGGGAGAACGTTTGAAGGCATAATTCGTTTAAAAGGTTTTTCGAACGAAAGGATTGCTGTCCTTTTAACTTGAACCATTACTGCAACGACTCAGAGAGGGCGAGTTAGTTCAGCTTCAAAATACAAAAACGTCCAACGTTTCTATAACGCTAGAGGCTAATAGATGGCTTGACTTAGATAAAAAGGATGCTTTTCGTCAGAAGAAACACAATCGATTTGTTCCTGCCGCACAGATGCATCTCGTTAATGCGAACTTTTCGTTTAACGGCCAGTTAAATATATCTTCTTATCACACCTGCTTCTTCTCTTCATTCAGGTCACTAAAGACATTGTAAATTTCATTTCTCTTGGACTTAAGCTCCTTTTTGCCAATGATGATGATCACGAAGGAACTAATTTTTCTACTATATCTTGTGTTTTATACGAGCGATTCTAATAATCTGAAGTAAAGATGTGTGTTCATAGCACAACTTCTGAATGTACACAAAAGAAGGGCTGTAGAAGAACGCTGGATGAATAACGTCCATAAACAGCGCAAACTGATAAATCGTCCGCGAAATTCCGGAAATCGACTTGGAAAACTCGGAATATACAAACCCCGCTCAAAATGGAGAGTAAAAAATATTGTTAGTTAAATTTCAAAGCACTTAACCAAACGACCACTTTTTAACTCGAGCTTCCGGTTTCTTTGCCTCAGAGCTTTTCTGATGCCCACATAACGTGTTCGTTTTAACTTATCGAATTAGATAGCAAAGTAAAGTCTGCGTAGCTCAAATTAGGATCTCTCCAATTGAGAGCTGAATAACTCTGCACAGGCTAAAGGTTAAATCGAACCGGTATTCTAGATGAATCAATTTCATACACTAAGAGGGCCATATAGGAGCTCTGTTAGTTACTGGCAGTCATATATTAATGAGCTTCACTGATTAAACTGAAATTACTTCTAATGGTTTTTTTTTTCTTTTCAATAAGCAACTGGCCCACGTCATTCAATTTCAACGATGTGATACAGTAGAGGCACGAAATATCTTACGTAATCTACGCTTTTTCGGTTATTAATTACGGACCTGAATCGTCGGACAGATATGTGTTTCTCAGTGAAGACAAGTTACATAACACGGAACGTGTTCAAGGAAATCAAAACAACAGCTTTCTTAGCTTGCAGTTCCATTTTTTTGATCAACCCACAGTTACCTAACAGTAGCAGGACAATAAGTTGTATTCCTTTCTTCTAAGTAATATGTTAAGTAATTCAGTATCTACTAAAGACGTTTCGTGATAGTGGAAAATCTTGATATTCCAGCAAATCGTGCTTAGGGAATGCCCTTTCGTCTCGTGTAGGCAAAGCTCGAACTATCTGATCTAGTCCGATCCCGTATAGTTTTAACAGCGAGGCAAACGTATGGTACAGCCATACGGCATGGTTGGTTAATGAAGACCTATTGAAATGAAATACGTAGTTTTGTCATGCTTCATAGGTTAATTGATCCGATACCGGACAACTTTCGGAACAGGTAGGCTTTTCTGGCC